AAGAGCCTGAGAAGAAGTGAAAGTAGTAGATAAAATTGTTGGGCTAGTGGAAGGTCCTGCAACTAAAGATAATATCTGTGACTACAGGAGAATTGTAGGTACAAAAAAGGAAAGATCAGCCCTTGAGAATTACCCTAAACAGAGCTGAACAGATGGAAGAAGTATTCAGGAATGTTAGGAAATTACAAAGTGTTGAGGAAAGGAAATTATGATCATTAAGGTGAGAACACTTCAAAGAAAAATAAAGAGAAGCTGAAACTGAACCTCGTAGAGGCAAAACGACTGAATGAGAGCAGAAACGAAGAAGAAATAAATTCATTTTTCTACAAGGAGAAAGGGGTAGGCAAGCTTGTGAAATGGTACAAGAATTCAAGCCAACAAAATTACTGGAAAAAGGAGGAGTAAAGAACAAGGGAATAGGGAACATGTTCCTAAAAATTGGATATACTAACATAGATGGAGTGAGATAAAACATATTGGAGCTAAATGATTTAGTACAGCTGCAGACACCAGACATTATTGCACTCACTGAGACTAAACTCAAAGATGATATTTTAAATTAGGTCATTCTCCTGAGGAGCAACTCAATTTGCAGATGGGACAGAAAAATTAGGAAAAGTGGAGGCGTTGCCGTATTGGTGAAAGAACACCTAAAGGTAAATGAAATAATGATTGCCAATCCACAGAAGTTGACATAATAGCACTGGAGACTTGTAATCAGGATGATAAACTGATAATCAACACTTGGACAAAAGAGGGACTGGACAATAAATGAGAGGGCCTCATAACAATCATGTGTGGAATTATAGCAAGAATTATATAATAAAGATAGATCTCGACTACTGGTAGTTTGTGACTTCAACTTGAAATCCATAGACTGGAAAGCCTACAAAGCTAGAAACGAAAGACTTTTGGACCTGTAAATTTGTAAACCTCATTCTGGAGATATTCATGTATCAACACGTTAAACAAGCTACGAGGATGAGGGAAGGGGATGTTCCTTCCATGCTGGACTTGATATTTGCCAGGAAAAAGGGGAGAGATATTTGACATTCAGTACCTTCCCCCATTGGGCAAAAGTGACCATGTCCTTTAGGGAATAAGATATGCAATGCATTGTAATTTGGAAGAGAATGGGGAAAATAAAGTAGCTGATAAACCTGATGTCAGGAGAGAACATTATGGGGAATTTAGAAAGTTCTGTAATAAATTTGATGGGAAGACTTGTTGTTAGGTAAGGAAGTAAATGAGATGTTCAACAGAAATTGCAAGAGGGCCAGAGACCAAAAGACACAAAAATGTAATCAATATCAGAAGAGGCCAAACTTTCAAACATACTAGTGATACAAAGAGGCATGAAACAACTACATGGCAGTGAGAAGAGGCAAAAATAAATTTTGAGGAAGGGATACTGGACAAATGTAAAACGTAAGTATACAAACATAATATGTGGACAGTGGCATACTAAAGAAATTGTTCATGACTTTTGTGAGACCAAAATTGGAATGCACAATGGTTTTATGGCACGAATATCTCAAAAAACACATTAGCAAACTGGAAAAGGTGCAGACACATGGTACAAAATGGCTACTAAACTAAAAAAAACATGAGTTACAAGGCGAGGCTAGGGGTGTTCAATTTTGCGAAAGTTGGAAGATAGAGAAAAAAAGGGGAGATATGATTACCACATACAAAATAGTACAGTAACAGGAATCGACAAAATTGTCAAATAGGAATTCTTGAAACGTGGAACTTCAAGAAAAAGAGGTCATACAATCAAGTTTAGGAATCAAAGATTACAAAAAAATATTTTAAAGTTCTCTTTTTTGCAAAGAGAGTGGTAGACAGTTGAAACAAGTTATTTGAGGTGGTGGTCAATGCCAAAGCTGTCAGTAGTTTCAAGGCATCATATCTCTCTCATCTCTCACACCTGGCCTCGGGCTGGGCTTGGGGAGAAGAAGAACTCCCAGAACCCCCATCATGCAGGTATATGACAGAGCACTGGGAAGATGGGACACCATGAGTATTGATCTTGGGGAGTAGAAGAACTCCCAGAACCCCATCATCCAGGTATATGACAGAGCACTGGGAAGATGGGACACCATGAGTATTGATCTTGGGGAGTAGAAGAACTCCCAGAACCCCATCATCCAGGTATATGACAGAGCACTGGGAAGATGGGACACCATGAGTATTGATCTTGGGGAGTAGAAGAACTCCCAGAACCCCATCATGCAGGTATATGACAGAGCACTGGGAAGATGGGACACCATGAGTATTGATCTTGGGGAGTAGAAGAACTCCCAGAACCCCATCATCCAGGTATATGACAGAGCACTGGGAAGATGGGACACCATGAGTATTGATCTTGGGGAGTAGAAGAACTCCCAGAACCCCATCATCCAGGTATATGACAGAGCACTGGGAAGATGGGACACCATGAGTATTGATCTCAACCTGAAACCTCACTTTGTTTCTCAAAGGAAACAAAAGTGCTAAAAGTATTAGAAAGTTCTGTTTTGTAAACAGTGGCAGATGACTGGAACAAATTTAATGAGGTGATTGATACCCAAACTGTCAGTAGTTTTAAAGTGTTATTTGACAATGATTACTAGGACTATGATACTATGAGCATAGCTCTCATCCTGTAACTACACTTAGCTAATTACACTTTAGTAATTACACATTCTCACCCACTTTTGTGTACACTTACATGCACACAAACATGCGTTTCATCCATTCACCACTTATACTAACTATAGTAAATAGTAATTTAAAGTTGTCTTTTACAAAAAGTTGTGTGTTTAGCATTTATTGCAGCATGAACAATAAAGCTTTTCCTAAATTTGAACTAATCCAACTTGTAACTTTATTACCATAACAACTAACAGTTCTGCATATTGTGATGCACATTTAGAATGATGCAGTGTGTTAAGTGTAAATTGTCTTATCAGCTCAATGTTTGAAATTTGTGGTATGCTGTGTAATGTTTGATGGTTTATGCTTGTCTAATTTGATATGTTAATAGTGCATGAATGTTACTATAGTACAATATATTTTGTTCTTTTATTAATAATGTATATATCTGATTACTGTTTGCTTATTTATTTCCCTTTTCATCCAAAAGTTAATCTGTGCAGGCTTATCCCATTTTTAGTTTCGAAGGATACCTTATCCCTGTAGTGGAGTGTCTGCCTACCGAGGTGTGACGAGTTGCTCTTGCAGGTATGATATTCCCGAGTGTCTCTTTTCACACAGCAGGAGACATCATTACCACCAGTAGGCACTATACTGTACCTTATTATTCCTCCCTGTAGCAGGAGGAATAAACAGTGACAGATGCAATAGGTTCAGTTCCCCTCCCCATAGCACATGACATATGCAGTAATGGCTAGAGTTCCCCTTTCCATGGCACAAGTAACCAACATGATAGATATTTAGTAATAACCAGTCCCCCGTCCCATAGCAACTGATATAATTCTGAGCAGGGCTGGAATAATACATAAGCAAACTAAGCACAAGCTAATTTTACATACATTATTGGAATTATGTCTGTCTAGGGACTACTGAAGGGTTCAGCTTTTTCCAATTCATTTTTTTCTATAATAGGAGACATTAATAGCAACATGTATTTTTTCAAGAATTCCAATGCCTACAGCATGGGACACTAATAGCAACAGGCTTAATATAATATTAAGTTAATGGAAGGTTGCTGACACTAGGTTTTTAATCCTATTATCCACAACTGTTTTATAAGAAAACTTAGTTTTGTATCCTCTTTGTATTATTACTATTATTAACATTCTTGAATGCTGGAATGCCAACACAATGGGTTGTGATGTTTTTCTTGGTGCTAAAAATTACTCATTAGTTAAGGTCACTGCTCTAGACTGTCAAGAATACATAGATTTTAATTGAACTATAAAATGAAGACAAGATAATTAGTAATGTGGTTGTGATGATGATGATGGGTATGATTTTGAAAATGAAATGTGTTGTATTTTGAGGACATATTAATCTGTTGAAGGTCACTTTAGAGTTTGTGAAACTACTGGGGACTGTAATGATGAGATTCACACTTGGTATTTGTCTGCCACCCTTCAACTGTCATGGCTTGAAGTGCCATAGGAAGGGTCATTGTAATGGACCTTTAGTTACAAGGTTACTGATGTAGTTTACAAGGAAACTGAACCACAACTGTACACAGAGGCAAGGATGGATTCATAACAGCTTCATGTAACACAAGTAAGATTAAATGTATGTATATAATTTAAATTTCATCCAGAAAGTTATATAAAATAACAATTTAATACAATAACCAACTGTACACAGTTATGACTTTATAATATAAAGATATTGTTGATGAGTGGCTTATTTGTTGTTTGCCACAATAATTACATCTTATATTATTATCTTGTTATTGATATTCCTGTTCAGAGCAGTCATTTGCAGTTTATTATATCCCACTTTATTTGTCCCTGCTTTTTCTATAGTTTTATTTTGTTATATTTATATAATTTTTGTTTCTTTGAGAGAATTTGGCTTCATGTGTAATGGACAAATGCTTGTAACTAAGTATTAAGTGATATTGATGACTTAGGCAAAGCCAAATTAATATTCAGATTTTTAGAATAATAATAGTAGGTTTTGTTTCTAATGTTCCTGTTAACTTAATCTTGAAGATATATGGTTAGGCAAAGTAATATGACTGGTGAATGTATATGCAGTTTCTGTTGTGTAGTTGTGATGTGAAAGTTTGTGTTGAACTTTGTGTGTCTCATTTAGTTCATGTTGTTATAAAGGTAATACTGTTTATTGCAGTTTATTTTTTGAGAAATTCACTATGTGTATGTGCTTGAGTATGATATTTAGTCAGGCTGGTATAGTGTGGAAATATATTCTATATCAATAAATTAAGGATATATCTTGTGGAACACTGTTCCATAGAATTTTGTATGATCATCATGGTTTAGAGATGTTGCAGTAATGTGGCTCCTCAGATTGAGAACCTTGAGGATTTGCTCCGCGAGAAGGACAACCAAGTGGATATGGCACGGGCACGGCTGACAGCGGTGCAGGCTCATCACTCCACCTCTGAGGGTGCCCTCACCTCCCTGGAGGAGGCCATTGGTGATAAGGACAAACAGATTCAACAGTTGCGGGAGCAGCGGGACAGGGCAGAGCAGGAGCGCCATCAGGAGCAGTCACTGCATGAGCGTGATATTGCAGAGTACAAGATGAAGCTTCATACACTGGAGGGAGAAGTGGAAAAATTGCAGGTTCGGCTTGAACGTTCCTTAGCCGAAAAGGATAAGCTTGAAGCTAAACTAGAGTCCAGTCAGTCTGAGCTGGGCAAAGCTAAAGCTGAGTTAGAGAAGATGCACGGGGAGGTTGGAAAAAGCACCAGTGACTATGAATCCTACCGCCATCGGCTCACCAAGATTGAAATGGAGAATGACCGCCTGCGAACAGAGAATGAACGGATGCACCATGACTTAGAACGTTCTCATCCAACATATGGCCGCTCTTCTTCAATTCCTGGAGGTCCAGGAGAGATGGAACGCCTGCAGGAGAAACTTGACAAATGCCAGGCAGAACTGCGGCGTGCACAAACAGAGCTGCGCATGAACCAAGCTGACTATGAGCGGTCCCATGTGGAGGTAAAGGTCAATAATCACTTCCGTTTTCGTTGATAGTGAGCAGAACTATCGTAGTCATAGTAGTCAAGTACTAATAACAATGGTAGCAACATTTTGATTGATCAATAGCCATAGTAGAAATAAAACTTTGAATTATAAAGTAAAAATAGCAAAATTTTATATGGCTAGTACAATAGCCAAATTTTCTTTAGTATACAGTATCTTGTATACTGTATTGGTAACAATAGCTTGTTCTTGATAAACTAGGATTTGTCAGGTTTTGGAGATTCTGTAGATTTTTAGTAATGAAATGTTATATTTAGCATTTTTTCTGTGGCGGAGCCCCGTCGGCTTCCTGGAGATATCGGACTGATATTAGCTATATTTGTCTGGGGCTTCAGTCAATAGAGTTCTGCCTACCTGGGCCCATAAGCCAGAACCTGGCCCCCCTCAGAGAGGCGCACAGAGCAACGACCTAAGGAAACCCCACTGTTTTTAGGAGTACAGTGGAACCTCAGTTTTCGTATGACCCTGTTTTCGTATTTTTCGGTACTCGTACTCAATTTCTTCGAAAAATTTGATTAGGTACTTGTTGTTTGCCTTGGTTTTCGGAGTGTGTTTATACATGTACGGGTCCACCAAGCTCGTGGCACTTCAGTTTACCAGAGTCTCCTGCCTAGAGATGATCGCGCTTGAATTCTTTGTGAATATTTTCATTGTTTGTGCTTTTTTGGTTTCTGAACATAAAAGTTCTTATTATATATCACACCATGGGTTCCAGGAAAGTCAGTGGTAACGTTCAACCTAAGAAAATAGTTGTGAGGATGATAATAGAGGAAAAACAAGATCTCATTCATAGTGAGACAATGTGATGTCTCTCTACAGACAAGTGTTAAAATTTAGGGAAAAACAAGTGTCTATAGACAGATTCTTAGTAAGAACAAGCAAGCAGTTAGCCACAACCAGGTCCTAGTGGTATGCCTGGAAAATGTAAGAGAGAGTACCTCAGAAATGTCATCACTGATGTTATAATGGAAGGGGACTCCCCTTCCAAACACTAACACCTCTCCTTCTCTTCCCCTCCTCACCATCTTCCATACTCCAACAAGAGCCCTCCATAATGGTAAGGTACCTACGAGTAGTTTTCTGTATAAAATGTATTTTCTGTGGAGAGCCCCTTAGGCTCCCCGGAGCTATACCGGGCTGAAGTGTATATATATTAGACCGTGGCAACAGTCAATCGGAGGAGTTCTAGGCCTACTGGGGACCAGAGCCAGACCCTGGCCCCCTCAAGAGAGGCACGAGGAGCAATGGCCTAAAGACACACCCATGTAATTGGAAGTAGTCTTTGTCTGCCATCTACCAGGTCAGGCACTCAGAAAGGTAGGAATTCTGAAACAGACTACTGCTGATCAAATAAATTGCAAACTAAACTGAAAGCCGAACTAGCAACAGAACTCTCCAATCAAAACCAAGGAAACAAGTGCGACATCACCACAAACGCCACGCATCCATCTGCGCAACCCTCCCTCCTCGGGAGGGGGACAGGGGAATCCCAGACCTCACGCTGGCAACTCGCCTCAATTCAAGGGGCTGTTGTGTTGGCAATGGTCGATCGCTCTGGTTCTACTCTTTGCGCAGTGCTGCAGTGCAGTGTTGTTGCTTTGTTTTCGTGGTGTGTGAGCCAGACGTAACACAAGAGTACTGGGGCTGCATGTATCTGGGGCCGCCTTCCCTAGGTGCCCTATAAGTACTGCTTTTGCGGCTTCAGGGTTATCTTCCATGAGCCGTTCAGGAGCAGCTACCTCCATGTGGTTCTGTCGCTGCTCGGTGATTGTCCGCCATTGGGGGGTTCAGCTGGGGTGGTTCTTATTCATGTTTTCCCTTGGGTTAGGAGGTAGTTTCGTTGATGTCTGGGGCGCGAGGTACTGTGCAGCTGTCTGATATACACATAGCGACCTGTTCTGTTCTGTTCTCCTGGAGATGTTGTGCTTTTGTAGGGTTTTTCTTTTGTTTTTGTTTTGTTTTGCCTAGCGGGGGTTTGCCTGGTGTGGCAGTAGGACCACTGGTAGGTTTTTGGTGGCCCTCCACTAGGTCCCTGTGCTTGCACACGTCGCAGGGGTTCAGCTTTTAGATTGTTTGCTTGGTGGCTCTGGGATAACCGGTTAGCAGTACCTCGCCTGGGTTTCCTTTAGCAGTCAGCCTAAGGGCTCTGGAAACCCCCATTGGGGCTCATTGGTCCAATGTAGGAGACCTCTGAGTCCCACCTCGCCTTGTGCGAGTTTGAACGTTGCTGTCCCCCTGTTTTGGGGTGACACTCACCGTCTGCCTCCATCTTGCTGCTTGTTGGGGTCAGTGACACCTATGACCCGGAGTCCTGCGAGTGGTGTTCTTTGCTTGTACTCCATTCACCCAGTCCACTGAGACTGATATTTGGGTACAGGCAGCTTTAGCATGGCATGCAAGGTTTAAGTTGAAGCAAGGTGCGAGGTTGGTTGTCTTTCCGGATAGACTGATATTTAGGTGCAGGCAGCCTTAGTATTGCATGCAAGGTTTAACACTATCGTTCTCTTTGGACATGACTCGCATCCATTTTTTTTCTCGAGTCCTAGCCGAGGACAGGACTTGCGTCCACTACAAGAATATTTTTATAAAATTCATTTTTTATCCGATCGACCTCGGGATAGTTTCAAAATAAGCGCCTTTAGAATGCACACAATTTGATACCAAAATGAAAGATGTAACACAAAACGTGATGTCAGAACACTTGAAAGATTATAAATACGTTTTTGAGTCTAAATTTTACATTTTAAAATATTAGTTAAAATTCAGTTTATTATGCTATTATTATGGGACTAGTTTTAAAATGCGCACCTTTATATTGCAAACAATTTGATACCAAAACGAGCGACGTAACATGAAATTTTATGTCAAAACACTGAAAATATATAAATAATTTTGATGATGAGTGTCCAAAATTAAAATATTTGTTAAAATTCCAGTTATTGCTCTATTATTATGGGACTAGCTTTAAAATGCGCGCCTTTATTTTGCGAACAATTTGATACCAAAACGAGTGATGTAACATGAAAATTGAGGTTATCAAACTGAACGAGTATACACATTAGGCTGCGGTGTGCAAATTGGTGCTCGTTCACAGGTAACTTTAGGCTTTGCTGTGGGAAGTCTCGCCAGGCTTTTGGACATTATATGCATATACACCTGCAGGGGATTTAATTGCGAACACAATAATACAAAAACGAACGACATAGCACAAGAATTAAGGTGAGAAAACTGAAACGAGTATACACATTTAGGCGTCGCCGCACGCTCACCTGCACCATTGGCCCCATGACATCAAAGTCTGCGGTGCGTGCGTGGTGCCGGTGATAGTGTTAAGTTTAGGCAAGGTGTGAAGTTGGTTGCCTTTCCAGATTGACTGATATTTAGGTGCAGGCAGCTTTAGCATTGCATGCAAGGTTTAAGTTAAAGCAAGGTGCGAGGTTGGTTGCCTTTCCGGATGCCCCCGCAGCTGCCCCGCTGAATTATACTGGTAGTGAGACTTGGGTGGCTTCGGGAATCGCCCCTTCCGGATTGGTGGCGGAGGTATTCGAGCCTGGTCCTCCTGTCGGAGCTTTTGGGCCATGCCAGCAGGCCCCTTTCATCCCTGCTTTTCCGGTGGACTCTGCTTTTTCTCCAAAGGCAGAGGGTTTGTAGGACGGCTCGACCCCGGGTACTGATGTGGAGGATTCTGAGGCTGGGGAGGAGTTGACTTTGGGGGGGGGGGCCTGGGCCCCTCTGGTCGCTGCTTGGGTGTTTGGTACCCTCAGTGTGGGGCTTGTTGTTACAAGGGGAGGAGGTTTTCCTTTCCCCCCCTCCCTGTACGATTTTGTTATGACTTCGACTCCTCCCCGGGTTCGGGTCTGAGTTCTCTTGGGTTCTTCGGTTCCCTTCTTCTGGAGGTTTTTGGCTTCCCGCATCCCACCGAGGAAGGTGTGGGAGGCTCCTTATGGCTTACCTCCTGCAAGACCCCGGATTACGCCTCGATAATGAAGCCTTTTTTTTTAGTTTGGCTCCTCCTTTTCTTTATTGGGTTCGTTACAAGGTCGTTCAGGTTTTCCTGGGGGGTAAGTTGGAGCACCTCAATGTGGGCTTGTTTGTTCCCGTCCTTCCTTATGATGTCGGCCAGGTGCGGCTTCACGTGCAGGTTCCCTCGATTTTGGCATCCCTGGTGGCCGAGGATGTGTGCACCCGTGGGCACTTGGCCTCGGTCTTGCACTTATTTTCCCTGCTGGAGCTGTCTTCGGACTGTCTTGTGTTGGGTGTGGAGGATGATATACACTCACTTCTGCCCCATTCCGTAAGCTTTTTCGTGCTTTATTTCACCTCCAGCCTGCTCATGCGCCGTTTGAATTATCCTGGTCCTTGGACCAGGTGCTCTCTCTTTATGCCTAATCCTTATTTTGTGGTGGCCCCTTTGGTCCAAGACTGCTTTCAGAAGGCTTTGTTTCTGTTGGCATTAGCCTCTGGGGGTCGGGTCAGTGAGCTTCATGCTCTCCTCCAGTGCAGGGGTTTCTGCTCGTTCGGTCCTAGTGGATGGTTTGTTTGGTTGCAGCTGTCTCCTTCTTTTCTGGCGAGAGAAAAAATGAGACGCCAGGCTTCTGGAGGGGCTCTTGGGTTATTGATGCTTTGTTGATTCAGCTGGGGGTGCATCATATTGTTGTGTTCGGTTGTGGGTCTTTGCCTTTACCTGCGCACCTTGACTTCTGTGGCCAGGAACGCACTTTGGGTTGATCAGATTTCCCCTCATTCCCTGTTCCAGAGCTCTGGTCTCTCAGGTTGTCCGCAGAATCATTAAGTCTAGCCAGCCTGCAGTCTACCCTCGTTCCCATGATGTTCATAAGTATGCTGCTTTGGCCGCTCTTTATGAGAACATGTCCTGAGCTGACATTCGGGCACGGGGGTTTTGTAGGGCGAACAGTGTCCTAGCCGCCCATTATTTGGTGAATGTTCTGGGTCTAAGTCGTTCTTGTGTTGCCTTGGGCCGCCTGTTACAGCCGCTTGTCTCATCTTGCAGCTGTTGAGGCACTCGATGCTGCCGCTTCCCGGGTAAGTCCCTCTTTTACTTATCTTTGGGCATGTAGCTTCAGGGAGCTGACTGAGCTCCCCACATAAAACAAGTGTTGAGTGTAATGAAAGGCCATTTTCTGGGTGATCCACAGAGACTTCATGGCACCCTCCCTCCCTCCCTCCCTCCGGTATGCAGTGTCGTTTTCGTTAGCTCAGTTTCCGAACTGAGTGAGTATGGGGTAGAGGAGTCGGGGAAGCTGCGCGGACAAGTGGCACAGCGTGTTGATGATGATATCTTTTTCCTTGTTTCTTTTGGAGAAGTTCTGGTACTCTGTTCAATTTTGGGTTTGCACTTTCCTACCAGGTGGGGTTTGTTTTGGGATGCCTATCGTTCTTGGTGCCTAACTCAGGTCAGTGACAGACATTGTATACTCCCAAAAACAGTGGGATTTCTTTAGGCCATATCTCCCTGCGCCTCTCTGAGGTGGCCAGGTTCTGGCTCGTGGTCCCTGGTAAGCAGAACTCCATTGACTGAAGCCCCAGACTAATACAGCTAATATGAGTCCGATAGCTCCAGGGAGCCTCCAGGGCTCGCCCAGAAAATAGCATTTCATTACATTCAACACCGGTTTTTCGTATTTTGGATTATCCATAGTGACATTAGTAAAGTTTTGAATTATGTGAGTACAATATCTAATCACATATCTGTCTGTCTGTTTGGTTTTTTGTAATAATGTTTCATTAAATATTTATTATATTGGATAATTATATTTCCAATATATTTGAGATAGAACTTTTCTTAGTGGTTTCAGAAAAATTACTGTAGTTTTATTGAACAATACTATCCAAGATGAGGATCATCAATATTTTCTTACCATAATTATTGGCACCTCATGAGCAATTAAGTACTGTACAACCACCTATAGTAACTGTAGCAGTTGAGAAAATTATTAAAAATACAGATAGTAGTGAAGCGAATTACTCATTAATTAAATTTTGTTCTAAGTTAGAACTGTCAGTTATGAAAACTGTATACCTATGCTCAAATCACTGGTAAATATTTTATATGTAAGTAGCTATGATCAAATAGCCTTACTATAAACGTAAAAATTGTAAGTCAGTACTTAAATTTATATCAGTATTGAACTTAGTGAATTGTATTTATTGTAATTAATAGTTGAACATCATGTTTAAGCAAACTTATTCATATATGCTGAAGCAATGTTAAAAAATAGGTTTAAAAGTAATGAGGAGGTATATGCCAATTGAGGCATAAAACCAGCGTTGAATGTAATGAAATGCCAATTTCTGGGTGAGCCCCGGAGGCTCCCTGGAGCTTATCGGGCTAATGTATGTTATATTAGACCAGGACATTAGCTAAGGAGTTCAGACCTACCAGGGACCAGCGCCAGAACCTGGCCCCTTCAGAGAGGTTTCATGGAGCAATGATCCTGGAAAACCCCCTTGTGGTTGGGGTTTTCCTTATCTGCCATCAACCGGGGTTAGGCACCCAGAAAGGTATGCATAACAAAACAAACCCCACATGGTAAAAATCTAAAACAAAAAACCGAACAGAGAGGTAGAAACTCCCTACAATCCCAAAGAAACAAGTAAACATCACACTTTACTTCCGCGCCGATCGTTCGCGCAGCCTTCCCCACCCCAAAAGGGGGAGGGGGAAGCCCCGAACCCAACCATGCTGGCTGCCTAGCATCAGTTCGGAAGCTAAGTTTCAACCAACGCGAAAAAACCGCCCACCGATGGAAGGGAGGATTGCCAGGGAGCCTCCAGGGCTCACCCAGAAAATGGCGTTTCATTACATTCAATGCTGGTTTTCTGTGGGGAGCCCCTATGGCCCCTATGGCTGTGGGGAGCCTCTAGAGCTTCATACCCAAAGAGAAGGAAAAGAAAGGGCTGACCCGAGAGGCGGCCGCCACAAACTCCGCAATGCGAAGCTGAGACAACAGGCTGCAACCTGCAACCCAAGGCAACAAGAACGCACAGGATCAGACGCGCGCATAAAAAATGAGTGGCCAGGAACCTGTGCGACCCTCAAATCCTCGTGCCCGAAATGAGCTCTAGATGTCACCAACACAGCAGCGAAAGCTGCAAACGTCCAAACAGCACGGGCGCAAGGATAGACCGCAGGCTGGAAGACCTAAAAACTCTGCGGACGACCTGGGAGACCCGAGCCCTGAAACAGGGAATGAGGGGAACCGAATCAACCCAAAGTGCATCCCCAGACATGTTACACAGGTAACGGCAAAAAAGCGCAACCGAGCAACACAGGACGCACCCTTGGCTGAACCAATCAAGCATCAATAACCCAAGGACCCAAGCAGCCGTCTTGACCATCGCCAAAAGGACGAAGAAAGGCTGCTGCAAACGTACATACCTACCACCAGTACCAAAGAGCAGAAACCTAAACCAAAGGGGCTACATCAAACTGAGGAGAAGTTAAGAAGGCACCCCTGATCAAGGACCAGGATGGCTCAGGCGACGCATGAGCAGGCCGGATGTGAAACAAGACATGAGAAAGCGAACGGAACGGGGCAGATGTGACGTCCACCTCGAACGCAGGCCAGAGCGGCTCCGCCAGCTCTGCACAAAACGAGGCGACAGTAATAAACATCAAATAACTGTAGTCCTGAAAACCCAAGAAAGGACAAGACAACCCGAAGCGAAAGAGAAGATAACCTACGAAGAGCAGATGACCTAACCCCCCCCCCCCACCCCCAAACATAGAATGAGTATGTCACCATTTATAGATTTCTCTGGGAAAAGAAAACCCCCGCAAAAGTACACTGTCTCCAGAGGCAACAGGAACCGGTCGCCGCTTAGGTGGCAGGTCGCACAACACCTTGACGCCCTAACCAGCACAATACCAGTCCCTACCCAGGGCCAAACAAGAGCCCCAAGCCCTAGCTGGCCCCAAGGGCGAGGCAACTGCCGAGCAGCAAGAACCTCTACGAGAATGGTTCCCGAATGCCCCAGGGAAGATACAGTAACCCTATCACGCAAGGGCAGTACTCACAGGGTGCTTAGGGAAGGAAGCCCTTAAGCACCTGGCCACTGCACAACACAACACACGGCAGTGAACGCCACAAAGGCAAACACTGCCTAGGAAACTGAGGCCAGAGAAGTGTGTCTATCCCGGTTGACATTAGTTTACGAACTGGTGCTATGCAGCCGGCATGGTGAGGTCCTGGCCCCACCCCTTCCCCTCTCGTGGTGGGGAGGGTTGCGCGGACAATCTGTGCTGCAGTAAATTGTGATATTTGCTTCTTTCTTTGGGATTGTAGGGAGTTTCTATCTCTTTTTTTTTTTTTTTTAGTTTCTTACCATGTGGGGGTTTGTTTTGTTATGCCTACCTTTCTGGGTGCCTTACCCCGGTCGATGGCAGCTAAGGAAAACCCCAACCACAAGGGGGTTTTCCAGGGCCATTGCTCCCTGAAACCTGTCTGAAGGGGCCAGGTTCTGATGCTGGTCCCTGGTAGGTCTGAACTCCATAACTAATGTCCCAGTCTTATATAACATACATTAGCTCAATAAACTCCAGGGAGCCATAGGGGTTTCCCCACAGAAAGTTAGGACTTGAATTGGGCTACATTGTGAAAGAGCTGCTGTGAGTATCTGCCAAGTATAGAGTTAATCTCGTCTCGCTCTTGCACTCTCTTCCTGCAGGTCGAGCAGCTACAGGAGAAAGTGGAGAAGGCACAGGGGGAGATATATCGGCTGAAAGCACGGCTGGAGAATGCTCAGAGTGAGAAGGACAGCGTGCAGGAGGAGCTGGAGCGAGCACAGGCCACTGTTGCCCGCCAGCACAGTGAGAGGGAACGCTGGGTCAATGAGGTAAGCACAAACTGATATTTTTAAATTACCTTTTGTATTAAATTTATAGTGAGAGAAAGATCAGTTCTTTTGAGCTATGCCATTATTCTCCCCCTTCAAAATAAAAAAAATAAATAATGGTGAAGAAAATATATAAAATTCTATGTTCCAAAGGAAAATGGGAACGTTTATTCCTCAATGCATATTATATCTAATAAGGTAAGAGTAGGGACTTGCTTTGCTTGTTCTTAATGAATAAAAGTACAAAAATAGTAGACAGTATGAGAATGGTAAGTCTGCCTCTGAAGTACAGTACCAGTAAATGCACTTAAGATGCCAGGAAAGGATTTTCTCAAACTTGCTCAAATGCTTTCAATTTTTTTTGTGCATAATCTACTAGGCAAATACTCCAACTTTGTCTAAATGATCACCAACGTAACTTGAAAAACAAGAAAATAAAAAAAAAACATCATTGAAAGTAATGAAACGCCATTTTCTGGGTGAGACCTGGAGGCTCCCTGAAGCTATACCAGGCTGATGTGTGTATATTAGACCGTGGCAACAATCAATTGGAGTTCTAGGCCTACTAGGGACTAGCGATAGAACCTGGCCCCCTCGGAGAGGCATGAGGAGCAATGGCCTATAGACCCTCCCGTGTAATTGGAAGCAGTCTATGTCTGCCATCTACCAGGTCAGGCACTCAGAAAGGTAAGAATCCCAAAACAAACTACAGCTGGTTAAAAATTGCACACTGAAAGCCGAACTAGCAAGCAGAACTCCCCATTTGAAAACAAGCAAGCAAGCATGACGTCACCACAGCCTCCGTCACCACAGCCTTTTCCCTATTTCTAATTGGTACTTGGTGTATTTTTGCATCTTTACTGGATCTTGGTGCCCTGTCTGAGTCTGCTTGGGATTCTGTGTCTGGTCTACCTCAACGACTGGCTGGTGTGGGCTCCCAGTCGGTCTGCTTGTCTGCTCGCCAGGGGTGTGGTTCTTTCCAGATCGCCGGGTTTGGTTTCCCGGTGATCTGGAGGTCGTTCCATTTGTTTCCGTCCCGGGTTCGGACCTGGCTAGGCCTTGTTAAGGGCTCTTGGGCCGCTCCTTGTCTTTCCCTCCAGAAGTGTTGCTGCGGCTGTGGTCCCGCCTTTGGCTGTTCATGAGGGGGTCCCGGGTTGCTCAGCGGTTGCTCGAGCAGTTGTGCAGGAGTCTGAACTTCGACGTGCTGGTCTGCCCGCGGGGTCGGGTTTCGCTTCGGCGTCTGTTTGGTTCCTTCGGAAACTCCCCTTCCGCCTCTCTTGCAATTGTTGGGTTCGTTCCTCTGGGGATCTTGTGTTGGTGCTGCATCACCAGCTTCCTCTTATGGGTTTTCGGGGTTCCGTGCTTTGGCACCTCCCCGAGCCTTCACTCGATGTGTTAATGGTCGGGTCATCTCTCGGCTGGGGCTTTGTGACCAGTGCTCACCAGGTCAGCCGGGGATGGTGGTGTCTGTCCGTCCATCATGCTCACAGCACGGTTTGGGAGTTCGTGGCTGTCTGGTTTGCACTTCGGAGGGTTTGGGTCACTCAGTGCTTTTCCATTCGGCTCCATTCGGACTGTTCTCTGGCGATTCTTTGCTTGAACCCTAGAGTTTCTCTTGGGTGTTGAACTTTGGGGTTGGTTCCTTAGAGTGGCTTGTTTGCAGGACTCGGAGTTTGGCTAACCATGAGGTTCATGTCCGAGGTGTGTCCTGCGTCCTGGCGGACAGCTGTCTCGGTTCATTCCTCTGTTCGCGGATTGGCCAGTCGTCGCAGACTCGTTTTGTTGGCTCTGTCAGACGTATGAACTCCTGGCCATGAATGTCTTCGAGTTGGCGTGGTCTAGGTATCGCTCATTTTATGTTGTGCCCTTACCCGTCTGCGAGGCGTTCACGGTGGATGCTTTTCGGCAGGACTGGTCGAGGTGGGGGTACTTGTTCCTCTTCTCCCGGTCCAGCTGTTGCTTCGGATACTGGCTCGGTTGAAGACTTTTCCCACGATAGTAGTCCTTATGGTCCTTGGTGGCCGGCCCAGTTTTATTTTCAGACACTGCTTGATAGGTGTCCGAACCCGGGGCATTTTCCCGCGGCTCCGCTTCGTTTGGCATGTCGGATCGGTCTTGTATGTGACTGGTTCGGCCTTCTCCTTGCCTCTTCGCATCTGGTATTTTGACGCAGGTATCACCTTTTCTGTGGTGATCAGGTGGCTTTGTTGACGGTGTCCCACCTGCGAGCTTCGTCTTGGCGACAGTATGATGTTTCTGGTGTTTCTATGCACTTTTTCTTGCTCTTCGTAGGTGGTCTTCTCTTTCGCATCGGGTTGTCTTGACCCTTTTTTGGGTTTTCAGGACTACAATTAATTGATGTTTCTTACTGTCGCCTCGTTTTGTGTGGCGCTGGCAGAGCTGCTCCGGCTTGCGTTCAGGGTGGACGTCACATCTGCCCCGTTTCGTACTCTTTCTCGTGTTTTGTTTCACCTTCGGCCTGCTCATGTGTCGCCTGAGCCATCCTGGTCCTTGATCAGGGTGCCTTCTTATCTTCTCCTCAGTTTGTGGTAGCCCCTTTGGTTCAAGTTTCTGCTCTTTGGTACTGGTGGTAGGTTTGTACGTTTGCAGCCATTCTCCGTCCTGGCGACAGTCGAGACGGCGGCTTCCTGGAGGGATTCTTGGGTTATAGATGCTTGATTGGTTTGGCCGGGGATGCGTCCTGTGTTGTCCGGTTGTGCTTTTTGCCATTACCTGCGTACCGTGTCTGGGGATGTGCTTTGGGTTGATCCGGTTCCCCTCGTTCCCTGTTTCAGGGCTCGGGTCTCTCAGGTCGTCCTCAGAGTTTTTCCATCTTCTAGCCTGCGGTCTGTCCTTGCGCCCGTGCTGTTCGGACATTTGCAGCTTTTGCTGCTGTGTTGGTGACATCTAGGGCTCATTTCGGGCGCAGGGATTTGAGGGTCACACAGGTTCTTAGCCGCCCATTCTTTATGCGCGTCTGCTCCTGTGCGTTCTTGTTGCCTGGCAACCCTCCCTCCCACTGGTTGGTGGTTTTTTCGTGTTGGTTGAAGCTTAGCTTCCGAAGTGAAGCTAGGCAGCCGGCGCGGTAGGTCCGGGGCTACCTCCTTCCCCTCTCGGGGCGGGGAGGGCTGCGCGGACGATCGGCGTGGCAGTAAAGTGTGATGTTTGCTTGTTTGCTTGTTTCCTTGGGATTGTAGGGAGTTTCTATCTCTCTGTTCAGTTTTTTGTTATAGTTTTTTACCATGTGGGGTTTGTTTTGTTATGCTTACCTTTCTGGGTGCCTAACCCCGGTCGATGGCAGATAAGGAAAACCCCAACCACAAGGGGGTTTTCCAGGGCCATTGCTCCCTGAAACCTCTCTGAAGGGGCCAGGTTCTGGCGCTGGTCCCTGGTAGGTCTGAACTCCTTAGCTAATGTCCCAGTCTAATATAACATAAATTAGCCCGATAAGCTCCAGGGAGCCTCCGGGGCTCACCCAGAAAATGGCGTTTCATTACATTCAACGCTGGTTTTTTTTACTCTACTGGAATTAGCAAAATTGAATGACTTCTATATTATTAACTAGAATTGTCCAGCAGAAGCCAGGACTTTAACAGGAACAAACAGTATAACAATAGTTTACAAACTAGACAATCTTAAATTGCAAAAGTGCTGAAAAGGAGTATCTAAATAAATCTCTTCTTTTATAACAAACTTTTCCAAGGTGGACTATAATAATGTCAAATGATATGGAAATATCATTGTAATGGTCACTTTACACTTGAGATGCTCTGCAGTTGATATAATAAATCACATTAATATTTGTAAAGACAAGTAAACGTACACACACACAAGACAAAAATCATGAAAATTTCCCAGCAACCACTGGGACATCAAGTAAACCTACTACACCAAGAAAATCCAAATCAATACTATACTTTTGTACCATCCTAATCATATACTGCAGAATACTTAATGATCTGATGGGGAGACAACAACTTTAACACTTTCGCGCTTTATATTAGAGATAACTCGTCACTGGTTTTTCTTACGATTCCGCATAACTGCCTACTTTTCTCGTCAATCGAGAAAATATTTCTATAAATTCCATTTTTTAACCGAAATGGATGGGGATACTTTTGTTTTGTAGAGAATTTATTTGCAAATTTTTTGGTACCAGAATGAATATTATATCACAAACTTCTATGAGTAAAAAAAAAAATACACAAAGTATGTTTGGGGGTGTGGCGAGCGTGTGGCAGTGGGTTCCCTTTAGCCGTTGATATATCCAACACGTGGGAAATATTTGTATGTGTTATGTATATGTCTGTGTAGGGAATTTTACTGCGATCACTGTCATACAAATTATAAAATGTTTCAACAAGTATAAACATGACAAACATCAAACGAACGAAAACAATGCGTTCGTTTCTGCCGCGAACGCATACTGAGCGACGTGGTTCTATATTTGGCGCTTCTCTTACACATGCTTTGTACTAATGTTATACAGTTCATCTTATAGAAAATTTTATTGCGAACACATTGGTATAAAAAAGAAATACGTACATAGAAAAGTAGGGTCAGGAAACGTATAAACTTTCCAAGCATGATTTCCCACCTGTGTTTTCGCCAGTGCGCTCGCGGCTAACTACTCTCCACTTCACACACTCTTGCGGGTGGGCAATTACCTATATTAAACATTCATATGCATATGTCCGTGTAGAGAATTTTATTGCGATTCCAATGATACCAAAATTAGCGATGTAGGACAACTGTAGGCTTCGCAACCATTAAGAAAGTGGAAACATTTTGTTGCTGTTTGGCGCTCTCGGCGAGTGATCTGCATAGTTTTTTATTTGGTGTTGATACTCCTTATGCTTGGGCGGCATTTTATAGGTATGCTCTTATAGACAATTTCATTGCGAACACAGTGATACCAAATTTAAATACGTGCGCCTTCAATTATTGTCAGGACAGTCAAAAGAGTGTACACTTTTTCGGTCTTACCGCGTAGGCGCACG